TCATCATCATCATCATCATCATCATCATCATCATCATCATCATCATCCTCATCCTCATCCTCATCCTCATCCTCATCTCATCCTCATCCAGCAGCTTGACAGTTCAAGTTTGAGGAATGGTGAGGACTTGTTCTGAGTTTGATTGAAACAGTTGGCCTCCCAACCAATCAGAGAACAAATTATCTGTTTAGGGATCCTCTCCTTCGGTAAGGGAGTTCCGGCTCTTCCTCAGGCATCAGCCTGACACTGCATTTCTAAATGGATGTTTCCTTGTATTCAGTCCCTTACCATGTTGCTATGAATGGGAATCATATTTAAACTAGCACAACTACAGTGGATATCCACACGTTATCCAAAGTATTCTCTGTTCCTCTGTTCTCTATTCAAACAGTGCTGGCTGGCTCCTCCCGGGAAAACCGATGGCTATCACAGTCATCAACCTCCTCTCATGTTGCGCTTTGCAATGCACGGCAGCTCAAGAGTGGACTTCGGTTTGTTTTAACGCAATCTGCTGGATTGTAGCAGGTGATGAAACCCGAAGACGATCAAAAACGGGTACAAGTGCTTCCATCGATTCACAATTTGCTTTTGTCCAGTCTTGGCAATCGCCTTTCCTCCTCCTCCATGGAGTCACGCTGCATCCTTGGTCAAAGAAGACAGGGCTATCTCGCAGGAGGACGCATGACATTTATTGGGTCAGTTAGCTGCCCGAAGTTACACGCCCCAAACTGGGCCAACCGTTACAAGAAGAAAGTGCCAAGTTTGTTGAAGATAGGTTGGCCATCAATGAAACAGTATCAAATGTGTGCATAAAAGTTGCCATGCATGGAGGGATCGGGGCCTATTCAACATATTCAAATGCAAAATGGGAGCAAGGACGTTACTAGGGGCTCCTGGCCTTACTACTAGGAACAAGAAGCTACTAGGGGCTCCTGGCATCGCTACTAGGAGCAAGGATGTTATTAGGGGCTCCTGACCGCTACTAGGAGCAAGGACGCTACTATTCAAAAACAACATGGGTCCGTGTGCTGTCGGGAGTTGCCCTCTTTCGTCCCTGGTCACCGGACCGAAGCGAGGCAGCGGTGACCGTCATGGTTTCATGGCAAGTCGCTGTCAGTGGCTGTGCTTTCTGAAAGGTGTCAAAAGAGTCTGTCAAAGCTGTACGCACCACTGGGAGGAAATGTTAGCCTTGGAAATCGGGCCGATGACCTTCAGAGTTGGCTTCCAATGCATGTTTCGTGCCTCTCTTCCAGTCGTCATGTCTTGGGACCTACCATTGTTGGGCTAAGGACCTGACCATCTGAGTTTGAGCCAGGCAATCGGAAAAGCTGTTGCTATAATCCAATGAAACTAATCTCAAAGTTAAGTATGTTCTTTCACCTCTCACCACAAGTGAATCGTTTACTGAAGCATCCCCCGTTTCAGGGAGAAACTCACCAGTGCCAGAGTTTATGTCTCGAGACGCCGCCATTTTGATCCAGACAATTGTATCCGGCGCTGGTTATCTTGGAAGAGATGGACGTGCTGCGGCCCCTGCGGCCCCTGCGGCCGGCTTTGCAGGCTCTTCTTCGCTGTCTGACACCACATCGAAGCCGGCATCCAGATTGACCAGCGGCATCTGGGTTGTTGAGACTGTAAAGATTCCACAACGTAGGCTCTGGAGGCTGGTTGGAAGACTCAGGTTTTCCAAACTGCTGCCCTCGAAGCCAAAAGAGAGCTCCTTCAGGCTGCTTGGCCAATTGATGCCAGTACCAAATAGATTCTCAGCCGAAGTCTGTTGCGGAAAATCCAGATCCCAGGCAAATGCACCTTCTCAAGGCTCCTTGGCAATTCATGGTTCAACTCTTGCTCGAAGTGTTCCAAGAAGTTCAGCTCCAGACCTTTTGGCCAAGTCACGCCCTCTAAGCTGTGACTGTGTTCACTGGAAAAGCCCAAGATTTCGAGGTTGCTTGGGAAATTGACCTTCTGCAGGCAATGATCGAATTCCCTGCCCATTGTCAACTCTTTGAGGCCACTTGGCCAATCCACTCCCTCTTCCACTTGGCCGATCTGCAATTCTTTCAGGCCATTTGGCCAGACAATTCGCTTCAAGCTTTGATTGTATTCATCAGGGAAAATCAACCTCTTGAGGCTACTCGGCAATGTCACATTCTCCAAGCTTTGGTTGAACCACTTGCCGAACTTAAGCTCTTTGAGGCTGCTTGGTAAATTGACATTCTGCAAGCTCTGGTCGAACTCAGTCCCGAAAACAAGTCGTTCCAGGCCACTTGGCAGATTGACATTCTCTAAGCTCTTGTCGAAAGAGAAACCAAAGGTCAAGCTCTTCAGGCTACTCGGCAATGTCACTTTCTCCAAGCTCTGATTGAACTGAGAACCGAATCGAAGGTCTTTGAGGCCAAATGGCAATTTGGCTTTCTCTAAACTCTGGTTGAACATCCGACCGAACGACAACCTCTCGAGGCTTCTTGGCAGTGTCACGTTGTCCAAGCTTCGGCAGAACTTTTCACCAAATGTGAGTGATTTCAGGTTGCTTGGCAGAATGACTCGCTCCAAACTTCCGAATGAATTCCCAAAGGTAAGGTACCGTAGTCCGGGCAATTTCACTTTGTGTAACGTCATTTGGAGTATCCATCCCCGAAGGGGACTCTGCCGGCCGACTGGGAGGTTCACGCCTTGTAGACGAGGATCGAGAGGCCACTTGGCCGGACGGATTTCAGGCCACGGTTAAAGGCATCGCCCAGGGTCAATTGGCGGAGACTTTGGGGAAATTCCTCAGTAGTTGATTGAAGTGTTTGCCAAACTCCAGTTCAAGCATGCCACTGGGCCAATTGACCTTGTACAGGCTCTGATCAAAAGAGCGGCCGAAGGACAACGATTGGAGATCTCTGGGCAAATCCACTCGCCTCAAGCTTTGATTGAAGGCATTGCCCAAGACCAAGGTTTTCAGGCCACTTGGGAATTCAACTTTATCCAAGCTTTGATTAAACGAATCGCCAAAAGTCAAGAATGTGAGGCTGCCGGGCAACTTGACTCCCTTCAAACTCTTGTCATATTTGCCACCGAAGTACAGGCATTCGAGGGTGCTTGGCAAGCTCACCCCCAACAAACTTTGGTTGAAGCGAGCACCGAATTCAAGGCTCTTGAGACTAGTCGGCCATTTGATTTTCTCCACTCTGTGATTAAAAAAAGTCACCAAAGGTCAATTCTAGCAAGGTGCTGGGCCAGTTCATCCATAAAATAGTTTGGGTGTCTTCGATTCCTGCCAGCTCAACGATACCATCCAATGCAAATTCATCCTCAACTGGAAAGCCTTGGATCAAGTTCATCGCTTGTGCCAGATTTGTGGGTAGAAACATGTAGCTCAAGGTCTCTTCCGAGCCAATCCCTTGTTCCCTCAAAGTCTTCTTCAACGAAAGCCCCTCAGCTCCAATATAGACGGACAGCTGCGCCCCCGGCTTGGAGGGCACCCGGCCACGGATCAACACAAAGAGATCTCGACCGCTCTTGGGATCGGGAAGCCTCAGGCTGAAGCCTTCACCATCCAAGCCAACGACACGTAGCTCGAGCAAGCTCTCATAGCTTCCATCAACGGCCATGATGCAATTTTGCTGAAGAAGGTTACAAGGGAAGCTATGGCCCTTGGCAGTGTTGTAGTTGAAATTGTTGCCGCATTCAAGGTCCTAGGTGTGGTTGTAGCTGGCGCCGTTGTTGTTCTGCTTGTTGCATTATTCAGGTTGCTCGCTGTGTTTGTCGTAAGCATGCGACCAAAAGCACCCAACTTGGTGTCGAAATAGGCTAAATGTCAAGTCCGTTCCTGCACCATAGGCTGAGACGACCCTCATAGGCTCGACCGGTGTTCACCTACCAAATGCGTAAAAACCATATCAATACATCGTATAATATATATATATATGTCTGTCCATACGGCCCTTTTCACGGCGACCAGCTCTTCGCTGTGATCTACATGGCACTCGAGCTCTCGGGACTCTGCCTTGGAACATCCGGAAAGAAGAAACATGAAGACACCTAGGTTGGTGTGGATGAATCATGAGTGTTTCTCCTCACGTGAGAGTTGAAAACATTAAATATACACATATATATATATATGTGTGTATATATATATATATATCACATTATATCACTATATATCACGATTCCTTATTCATTGCATGTGATCCTTCAGCCTTCGGCCTTCAGACATGGAGTGGCAAATGGACAACGACGCTGTTCCAGCCGTGGTGCTCCCGCGGCGAGCCGCTGGGAGGCGAACCCCGAGCAGAGTTCCTGGCCAAGGGTCAGACCCAAGCAAAGTGGAAGGAAGCATCAGACCCCAACAGTTGAGGTGTGTTGGTTGGATAGAGACTGAAAATGCTTTTGGGATGCAAGTTGTTTGATGCTTTTTGTGTGTGTGTGTGTACCAAAGCGACTACAGGACTCCAGGAACTCTCGGTGAACAAAGGGTTCAGTTCAGATTCCGAGGGTTGTCCTGCAAGGCTGCTTTTCAAGTTGATAAGTGTGAGACTCTAAGATGGTAGTCTCTGGGCAAAGTGGAGAAACTGGTGGTTGTAGTTTGCTGGACCATCCTAAGTGGTTTTCAGTGGAGGGCAATCGATCTCCAAAAAGCCGGAAGTGCCTCTCATTGTCCTCCGTCGTCATGCGGCTGCGCTGGGAGCGGCTTGAAAGTACCGATCGCGCCTAGGGAGGGATTCCACAGTGACGGAGGCCACGTCAACCCTAAGACCAGTGACGAAGAAGAACACACAGAGTGCACGGAGTGCACGGCTGCTTGCCTGAACTGCCGACTTTGGAGAGGCAGGATTCACAACGTTGGGTATGGGCCAGCGGAGCGCCGGTTCTGGCAAATAGTTGCCGGTCTCCGGTGGTTTCAACAAACCACGCGCGAGGGGATACGACTCTTAGTTTCTTGGTTTAGAACCAACCAGTGCATCCGACCCATCCATGCTCTGTCCTAGGTCTCGTGCAGTGTGGAAAGACCTCGGTGCGGCACAGGATATGCACAATAGAACTTCTATTGTGCAAAGCGGACAAACACCATGGACTGACCGCTCCTTTGACCAGGAGCCCCAAACCGTTGAGGCAGGTGACTAGGCCCCCGCGCCGCGTCGTGGAGGGTGTAGAGGGAGGTGTGCCACTGTCACGACGCACCAGGTTCAGTGGGAGCCGAAGGGCGGAAAGGAAGTCCGAGCCCATGGCACCTGAGAGGGTCTACGACGAGAACCAGTGAGAGACGCACCGGAGACGACAATCCGATCGAGGGAGTGGATGGGTCTGGATAACAATGGGGCCTCAAACGTGGTTTTCTGGGCTTCATCGTCCTGTGAGCTTGCTGATTATATAGATGCCTGCTCCCCCCCGCCGAAACAACCCGCTGGGAATCCTTTTGGAACAATGGCGATGCCAGCTTCACAGCGAACATCGTGCTCACAAGGTGGTTCAGAGGGTTTTCAGAGGGTTGCCAACCTCTCCCAGCTGAGGATCCAAATCGCTCAGATGAGCCCAGCACCAACAGTATACTCGTTCTCATCTGAGCCAGAGGCATCCGACCTCGAAGGCATCCGGCCAACCAGTGTCAGGCAATCCCAATAAAAAAGGAACTACATTTCAGAGGTGTAATGATGGTGCCAAAGAGAAAAACAAAACAGTTCGTGTTCCTCTTGGGCCAAAGATTACAGATGTAGGTCATCTATGGGTTTCTCTCATGTAATCTCTTCATCAGCAAGGTCAGTGTGACCCTGTGGGTCCCAAGTTTGTTTGACACTTTATGGGGCGATACCATTGATTTATAAAGGTGTAGAGGAGGTTCTGCAGTATCGGCTCTGGCAGTTGATCATAGATGAGCCCCAAGCTGCATCAAACGCATGGGGATGGTCCCAGTCCGACTGGTGCTGCGGTGCTGGGAACCAGCGCCTGCAGCCTAGGCTTCCCTGCTGAGATCGAATCACCCGACCAGGACCCAGCAGGCACCTAGGCTCTTTGTCCAGCTTTGGATGGTTTTTGTGAGCTGCTCTTTGATAGTACATCAGCTCAGTCGAGTGCTAACAATAAAACTTCTACAAAGGCTGCCGTTTGACGTTTAGCCGGCATACTTGACTGTTTCATGCGCCAGCCAGTTTGAAAAAGAAGCAGCAGCAGGAGGAAAATGTATGGATACCTTCGGTCTAAATTGTAATTTTCGCCTCCCATCCTCCCCATGGCCCGTTTGGTGCAGCACCAAAATAGTACAGTTTGGCGCGTCAGGAGCTCCTGTGCTGCAAGCAAAAGAAGCCTCTAATCTTTCAAGCGAGCTGAGCTTGACGCTTTTGCTCTTCAGAATCGACTCTCTCCGAAAACTGGCTCATCACCCCAACCAGCTGCGCTGCTCCTGCTCCCACTCAGCCACCGGGCTGTGCCAAGTGCTGACCTGGCTCAAGGTCCAGCAGCGTGGAAATTAAGTACATCTGCAATCACTTGGGAACTCCACAATCCTTTGGATTCCAAAGCCTCCATGGTCCAAAGATTTCTGCGCATGTGTGTGTATATATATACATATATAAATAAATAACTAAATAAGTACTTAAATAATACATACATAATATACATATATTGTGCGTGCGTGTGTGTGTGTGTGCTATGTTCTTAAAAAGGGAAAGAATTGGGTTCTTGACCGAGGCGATGACGTAAACAAAACGAGCGTCAAATGTACCGAGGCGATGAGGCGATGAGCTCCGAGTTGCCCATGGCTGGCTATTCTGCCGGCAACACCTCTCTCCGTCCTAGAGGACAGAAAGCCGTCCTATGATGTCGAGCTACAAGCGGTACCTGGCCTTTAGTCGAAGGTTGTAGTAGTATTCACCTTCTTCTGCAACGTATGGCCCGCTCCAGTCTTCTAGCGCTCTCAGCGCGCGTTGGTGCACCTGGAAACAACCCGGCTCGGTGGTGCACGCTGGCTCGAGTGCTGACAGTCAGATGCATCGCCACTATATTTCTTGCTTTTGAAGGACCCTCACGACTCTACACCTCTATTCATTGTTCTTGATCGGGAGGTTTTTCAGAATTCAGCCCTCAGTAGAACATTGGCATCACTTCCTTGCAACCTCTGAAAGCATCTACCAAGATTCTACCATCTATGAAGAAAACATTTAAAAACAAAAAAAAACTCGCAAACCATCGTTCCATGCCCGTGCCCAAAGCACAAAGCAGTCCTGGCCCGTGCCCTTCCGTTCCGTGCCCTTCCATCCATCACTTGCGCCTCCCGAAGGTGGTTCTGCACCAGTGTAGCGCAAGACTCTTCGTTTGCACTGACCCCAACCTGTCGAGCTCGTTGGATCACGCCTCGGTCGGTACGTCTCGGTCAGAGGAAGACGGGAGACGTCCACGGTGGGAACGGTGGGAACGGTGGCGTGGTTCGGAAGGTTCCGCCATTCGAAGTGAGGATTCGAAAGGTTCCGGGGCTTTTGCGAGGGAACTACAGGAACATTCCTTGCATCCATGGACCTTCCTGGATCTGTCATGAGAGCTCGAGCTCCAATCCTTTGCCACAACTAATCTGTTTCAGGAAATTGGGTTGCCGACTTCGATTGGATTGGGCTAAGATGCCTCGAACGTCTATTTACGCACGCTGCTTTGGAGCAGTAAATATCCAACCAAATTGACTACCTGTGAAATCTGATTGACTTGCTCCATGGCACAAACCACACATGTGAAACATGTTTATCTGACTCTGTGTGTATATCCAACAGGCTTCATCAAAATCACGTTAAACAGGGATTGCATTGACAAAGTGCATAGTTGTGGTTGCTGCAGATAGTATGAGCTGGGAGCAGCTACGCTGATGCGTCAACTCAAAAATAGTTATCTCTATTCACACAGCCTTCTCCACAATGAACGGAAGCCCCCTGCCATTTTCGATCATCTCGACGAAAGGATTGCTTTGCCTTTTTGAAAAGCAGAAAAGCTGCATTGAATTCGATGTGCGCAAGGCTGCTGTCTTTCGTCGACTTCTTTTGTCGCAATATGACTATGGAGCTTGCAGTATTCAAGTAGCTGGAAAACTTGAAGATCACTGGAAAGGCACAAAGGCGTTCAATCCACTGCTGGCTCACGTTTGTCCCAGTTGTATTCACTCATGAAGACAAAGCTGTGTAAACATGTGTTGACCCAGCAAACGAAAGGGCGTGACAAAGTAAGATCATGCAGTCATGCAGTTTCAGGAACGTAGCTACCTGCAGCAAATTTCTGCTGTGCATTTCAAGTCGTGCAATAAAGACATGTTTCGTTAGGGACTTGGAGGGCCAAAGCTCACACTCTCTTAGTAAGTCCCTCCTCAATGAATAAATATAAAAGAAGAAAGCATCTCAAGTTCTTCACCGCTGAACTCCAGCAGCCGGCGTCTCGATCTGAACTCGCAATGTGACCCTTTCGCTTCAAAAGTTTTCCCTGTCGCTCCATGTGCCTCCGATTTCTAGAGGGTTCATATTGCGAGATTCTTTCATCCACGTCCACGCGTTCCATCTCAGATGCCGCCACCCTTTTAGATGGCCACACCCATTTCACGATTCTGCTTGGCCACGACGCCCTCAGAGCGTCAGGCCAGCTTCCGGCTCAAACTCCGCACCTTGCTCTGAGAGCTGCTTGTAGGCCTCAGCAAAGTCTCGGAAGAAGGCAGCCTGATCGTCCTTGTAGAGCCTCGGTCGACCGACGGGACCGAGCGACGCCGTCGGATTTGGAGGGCACGGTTTGGTATCACTACTGTCTTACTTATAGGACTGGAGTCCCAAGAAAGCTGGATCGACACAAGCAAAGACCAACGGTTCTGGAAGCTGTATGCGTTTCTTGCCTCTGACACAGTCTTTGCATACAGGAAGTACAGTAACCATCTTGGAGGTGTGCATCTGACAAAATACAAGCCTCTTTCAATGACACACGTGGGCCATCTTTTCTTTTACTTCGCTCCATGTCTCTAAGTACATACTGTACCATTGAGGATTCCTGGCAACAAGGACTTCCCACGTGCATTCAGTCATTTTAGTTCAACAGCTGACAAGATGCTCTCTGTCCATCGGGTACTAAAAACCGTTTGGGAAATAGGTTCAGTATGGCCAGGAGACATAAAATATTGCTTGAAGCCCTCGTCCTGATGTAAGCATCGATCGGAAGATAACCATAGAAGATCCTGGCGGCTCAGGGCTGAATGATGCTAATCTCATTGGGCCCACCAGGTAAGTCACAGGTCCAGTCTGTGTCTAGTGCCAAACTGCCCTCAAACCACCCCGCAACCCAGTGAGTCTGATGCCCTCTCAACGAGTCAAACTCATGCATCTTGTGGGTCCAAAGAGGGGAAAGCTTTGGTTTTTCCCGCCGAACATGAACAGAAGACAGAGCCATTGAGGGAGGTCCACCTACCACGGGAAACGGAGCTCTGGGTTTTGACTGTAAGCCATTAAGCTAAGATACTCCCGGCTAAGATACCCCACACCCAGCGGGAGCAAAAAGCATCTGCAGACCCTGTTGGTCCCCGAGTCACTGCCCAGGTGGAAACAAGGAAACCTGCCAACTGCCAAAGCTCCTTGTCTTTCTCCTCATAGACCGACGGCTGGAAATACTCCTGCAGTGCACTGAGAAATGATCTTTCAGGATAGATCTGGAATCGGCCGCGCTGCCCATTTATGGCCGAGAGACATTGTCAAACTTGAGCCACTTCGTCGTCCAAGACTTTCCTCCTGGCATCCCTACTCCATAGCCACCGTCGTTGCGGATGGGACAGCCCTTCGGCATGGAACGTGTGTACGGGCAAGCTGAGCTCCTTGGTAGAAGCGTCCAATCACGAACATGGACTGACGAAAATGGTGAACATATGTGAATGCACTCTTTACATGATAAAATGATTATGATTCAGGATGACTATTTCAAAGAGATGCTAGGTCTGTAACCTGACCCGCTGGCGCAAGGTCATGCGTGCTTCATGTGGTCCTTTGAGCACTGGGAGTGGCATGAGAGAAAGCAAATGCAACAGGCCGTGCTAGCATGTACTACAGGACAAAGATCCCATAATTAGTTTCATGCATAAACTAGGGAATAAATTGGAGCAACAGATCCTGAACGAATCCTTCGACTTTACGGCACGGAACCGTGACGGAACCTCCTACCTACCAGGACCTACCATCTCAATCATCCTACCAGGACCTACCAGGTCAATCCGATGCTTCCAAGGATCTCTCCATAGCCCTCCTTCACAGTACCGCTACGTTCCTTGAAGGCTCTGCCGATGGTATGGGCACCACTGAGTGCCACGATGCCCTTGTCGTCGAAGCCCATCCTGGCAACGGACGTGCTCCAAACGAAGACATGCGTCGTGAAGACATTCTCTAGAAAGCGGTTCCAGACAGTAAGGGCCAGTTCAAAGTTCCAACTTGAGCTAAATCATGGAATCAAAATCCAGTTGTTTAGGACGTATGAAACTGTTGCATCGAACGACTCGGGCCTGTAGAAAATATTCCTCAAGTGGGTGGCCGCATCTTTAGCGCCACACCCAAAGGCTCCATCGGGTCCCGGCTCAGCATCAGGTAGTCCGGCATTGTCAGCGGTGCCTGTCGCCCATGGACTCCATATAGGTGGACACCTGTTTTTGTTTTGCTACCAGTTGAGGATAGTCACAGTGTTTTCAGAGTAGATGGCACAAACAAACCCGAAGATGTCCAAAATAGATGGGGTAAACCACCATTTTGGGGATTGTGCCATCTACGTTGAAACCACTGTATATTACAAGATATTATAAGGAATTCTAACTAAAGTTTGCAAATGCCAAGACTGTCCACGGCCTCGAGACTGGCGCCCCGGACAATCGTCTGGGCCGGAGGCATCCTTCAAGCAATGAGCAAGCACGACCGGATGGGAGGTCTTTGCAGTTTCAAGACACATATACCACTAGATTCACTAGATGCATTACTTCATCCTGTCAAGTCCCAGAGACACCCATGACACCCATAAAAAGCAATTTGCTGGCACATGATTGATGAAAGCAATCTTGGATTCGCATCATTTCAGCAAACTGACCACTCCACGATCTCAGAGAGTTGATTGTCTGGGACCTGCAACACAGTCAACTAGTAAACAGCAAGGTCGGTCCTTTCGGCCATACTTCATATCAATCTTTGGGCCGCCCGCATGCTCAATGGAGACTGCAGCAGCCATCTGATAAAGGTCTGCATAGGAGACCAAAGGATAGTCGGCCTGCAGCCCGACTGACTGACTGACTGTTCTGAAGAAGTGTGACCGGGACCGACTGTGACTAAAGTTGAAACTAAGTAGTGGTGAGGAGCCTGTCAACTCAGCATCTTGCTGAATCTTGATTCAAGCAAAACACAGAAATCACCGACACTCTTTATGTCCAAGGTTGCAAGAAAGCTCTACATCCATCTGGGCTCAAGATCATTTCAAGCATGGAAGACTGTCCGTGCCTTGAAAGGCTCCAAATACTTCACCCCCTTGTCCAAGCCGTTGTTGGCCCCCATGGAGATCTCTGGGCTAAAGCGGATTGAGCCATTCGCCCCACCACGCTCTCCTGCGAAAGGGAAACGCGACGCCATCGATATGCGCCGACGAACCAGGGACCGCGGACCACCAACCGTGGACGTGTCAACCTCTTCAAGGGTCCTGCTTGTCCAATGTGTGTAAAGTGTAAACGAACCAGGGGCCAGCCATCACTGTTGGCTATGTATCGTTTGGCGAGAGACAGTTGCACCTTCCTTTCCATGTGTGTGTGGGCATCCGAGCAAAAACTCATAAGCTCCAACGCATCCGAGCAGCCGAAGGCGGTTTTGGACTTGTCATAGGTGCCGGCGTCATGCCATGCCAGGCGGACGAGGATGGGGTTGCAATTCATCTTATCCACAAACCTCGGACTCGAGAAAGTGCCGCATGCAACCCCAACGTATCCAACACAAGGCCTCCAACCAAATAACGATGGCCTCCAACCTAATAGGGATGGCCTCCAACCTAATGGTGATGGCCTCCAACCTAATAGCGATGGCCGATGACCTCCAACCTAGAACGTAAATCAGGATACAGTTTGGGGTTCAGTGTGTTTAGTGGATGGACTTAGCCACTTAGTTGGATAGCCAAACCTCTCATATCATGGCCACTGGGGGGGTTGGGCCACTTAACATAGCTCGGTGGCTTCCAAAGATCCTCCTTGAGTGCCTGAGCAAGCACAAGAAGCCCTGGGGTCTTCACAGCATCTGCACTTTGTTGTTCACATAACGCCTGTGCCTTTGTCAAGACCTTTCCGCCATTATCAGCAGTAAGGATTCAGGACCCGTCGTTTGGCCATGAGAGAAACCAAGCAGGCTTCAAAGCTGGAGTCCGGACTTTCCCCTTCAATTCAATGCTGATAAAGTGCAGGTTTTGGCAATCATGGTTTGGGGGGGTCTGCTTAGCAGCCTATTGCAAGCCGTCCAGCTGGTCCCCATTCTTGTGCAAGGCCATCAGTTGAATGCTTAAACTTTAAACCCTGCCTTCAATTGTCCAAGATGATCCAAGCCCTCTCCCTTGGGCTTTCCGCCAATCCTCAGATCAGTGCACCAGGTCTGGTCATCTTGCCTCTTGCCAAACTAGGGTCCAGCTTGGGCAATCTACCTGAGGCCTTTGCCGGTCCAAAAGGCCACCCAGCGCGGTCTTGTCGCTCTCCGCGGCCGCCGAAGGATAACCCAACTGGGATGCGGTCGGCCGGGGGCGTCTCTGTTGTGCATTCGTCCACAGAAACAAAGGAACAAGGATAAAATGGATGCTGGATGCCTGTTTCCTGTGTTCGCCCAAGATTCCAAAACACCGCAATTCACACCCCTTGGAAACCTATGGGTGACCCAGGTGTTTTGAACACTCACAGCAAGGGCACATGGGACACCAGCTCATCATAGCTCTTCAACTGCCGCGCTTTCGCCAGGTCTTCGATGTCATCATGGGTGAAGGGCAAGCTCTTGCAGACCCCTGCCTCCACTCCTGAAGCCACTCTTGCCGGTGGTTTCAGTGTCAACACAAACCAGACTTGACGACATCTGTTTGGGGAAGCAACCTCAGCAACCTCAATCACCAACTGATCAAACATTAATTGATCTGGCAGCCAGCATGAGGCAATCCAAATCTGATTTGTTCCACACCACGTCCAGACATTCTAGTCCCGGTGCATTCCCGTGCTTTTTGAGCGGCCTTTGGCATTCAAGGTGTGGGCCAGGAGCTTCGGCTGCGGCCCATTGCGGATGCAGGTGCCACAGCCAGTTCCAGCTTTCGTGCACTTCTTAATCTCCTGCACTTCTTAATCTCTGCGCAGAATGGATAGGGGATCTCACTCTCAACTGCTTATCATCGGACCACTTTGAAAGAGTAGATGAGACAGTGAACTGATCCAAACAGCCAGCCCATCAGTGATGGGCTTGTTGAAATGGCCAGGTGCCTCGAAGGTATGGGCTCCCTTCATGATAGCATCTCTGATGACCTGCAGGTGGTCCAGAGGTGATGATGCAACAGACTTGAGTGCAATTATATGGGTGAACATGACAAACACCAGAGGCTTGCAGCATTGCAACTTGCAGTGTGCTCACTGGCCTTCTTTGGCACAGAGTGGCAGTTGCAAACCTTGGCTACACTCAGCTATCACTGAGCCCACAGAAAACCGCACTGACCAGGGTGGATCCTGATGATGGAAGTGCCACCAGTTTGTGGTCTCATGACTCTGCTAGTTAATCTCTTGACACACTCGTTGGTCGCTCGCTTCCTGGTTGGCACAAAGGTACAGCACCTTCATTTTCCATGTTTTTCCCGTCTATGTTGTTGGACTTTCACGGATGAGTCTTTCACAGCCTATAGATTGACGCATTCCCATGACCGTCTTCGAACTCGCCTGCCTGTAGGTTGTGCTTCTAGTGCGTGCATCTAAGTTATACATCTACACCTGACACATTCCATCCAAATCATGTTGGGCACCTTGCGTCGGGTCCCATGTTTGATCTCGGTGTTTTGCCACGCCTTGAAGAAGTAGATTTATAAATCACCTTCCAACCTCTCACATGTTTCAACAACCTCTGCCCCACATCTCCTCCAACCATGTGTTGTTGCTCATCCACTTCATCCACGGCACGTGATCATCATCCCCCAGGTTGGTGCCATCACCGCCGTCGTCGACCTTGGGCATCTGCCCAGCCATGAGCTCGTCAGGCGAAACGCCGCCCAGGTCCGAGCGCTTCGACACGGCCGTCAAGGGTGCAAAGGCAGAGATGTCCTGACGACCAATGCCATGGGCAAAGAATGACTTCACTCTGACTCGCTAACAAGGAAGTGGAAGATGGTCCCGTAAGGAAGACGGTCTTAGGTTTATGACGGGACATGCGGGAAAGTAACCAGCGGGGTATTTGAGGTGATTCGACTTGGAATGATTTGAGGGGAGGTCGTATGGTGCTTTAGAGTCGAGCTGAGAGGTGTTGACAGAGAAGAGGTTTTGCAGTAGTGGGTTCAGACTCAGATGAGATGAACTTTCTCAGTGGAGAGATGGGGGAGACCATTGGGGTGCTGGGATGGTCTATTTTGGGATCCACGTCCAATCCGGTCGGACTCCGACAGACGGTGGGACTCCGACAGACGGTGAAGTGTCACCTGAGCACAGTGCTGAAATTGACGACCTCTTCAGGTGACATTGGTGAGAGCATTCAAATGTCCACTCTTGCCGAGGCTCTCCAACCAGAATTCCACCCAAGAGCTTGGTGCCTAGGCTGAAAAGCTGAGATGGTCCAGCTTGACACTCTGATGACGTGGTCTAAACGCGGTCTACTGGATGACCCAGCGGTGGTGAAAATGATGACTGATGACATGACTAGTTGCCCCAAATGGACGATGCCCGCAAGCCTTGACCGAGTGACCCCATCGGCCCATCAACGGACCTCCGAAACCAGCTGGCTCCCCTGGCAAACCCCTTGGCTTCCGTGTCTCGAAACAATGCACACATCTGGCAACCCTCGGAGCAAGAGTCCAAACTCAACCGGCTGCCCATGCTCAACTGCTTGCACCCAGTGGCCGTCTGGTGTGAACACCAACTTCTTGTAGACGCCAGCAGCTTCATCCTGCAATGAAGTGTCAACAAACACTGCACTGCCGCGAAAGAAATGCAAAGAGATTCTTCACACATGCCGGTGTGGTCAGGTTAAACACCATTGAAACAAAGGCCTTCAGCCCAGGCATGAATCTGTAACTACCCTCACCAGTTGACACGAAGGATTCTCAGCTTCACTGCTTCATAGGGCCAGGATTCCTCTCTAATTCTGTGACTCGGAGAGCAAGATGCAGAATCAATCACGGACACACGCGACTGCCCTGTCGCAACACGTTTTCTCTACCTGTCGTTTGTCTTAGCCCCCTCCTTGGAGACTTTGGACATGATCTCCTCGCCGGACGAGCTATATTGACGCTTGAACCAGAAATCGGAGCTTCCACCGAAGGAGGCCACGTCCACACCCAGCAGCTTCAGCTTCGTGGAGAGGTCTGCATCCGCAAACTTCGACTCCGCCTGCCCAGGCGCAGGCGCGCCGTACACCGTGCGCACGAAGGATGGTCCCAAAAGAAGAAAACAACTAACTGCTGAACCATATGATCCGCTGCGAGGCCTATATGTTGAAACCATATGATGAACCTAACTGCTGGGCCTTGGGATTAGTCATATGATCCGCGAGGATCTCTGCTTGAGTGTATCCAGGGGCTGAGAGCTGGTAGCACATGCCGCCGTTGAAGGAAGCGATCTCGCCCACAGCCCAAACGTGCTCGTCAGTCGCCGAGCGCATGCGATGGTCCACCTCTAGGCATCAAAATAGCTGGGTTTGTGTCGAGGAGTTGGTCAGAGAAGTATATAGTACTATAAAGATTGACACTATAATCACTATATAGATTTGCAAGGCCTTTCTTGTTCCCATGGATTTGTGCTCACGTCTCATAATACCATTTCTCTTTACCATTTCTCTTCTGATTTCACTGCGGATTCTTTCACCCAAACCTCCCCCAGGCCGCTCGGCATCCAGGCCTTGATGCCTCCCCGTCCGCCCAGCTCTAGGCCGCTCATCTCCGCCAGCTCCTGGCGCGGCCGCACTCCGGCGCCCACGATGAGCAAGGTGGCCTCCAACGTCTCCTCGCCGACCACGGCGAGGTTCGGTACGGTTTGGGAAAAAAGGGCAGGACTTACCTGGAAGGACCACACGTGCATCCCTAAAAATTCGAGCTCATCCACTTTGGGGGTATTCTGGGCCCTTCCTTCATGTTGGGAGACCTCATGTTGCTCAGTGCAAGCACACGACCCACGGTGTCCTCTTGACCCTCTGCCTCGATCTTCACGCCCGTCAAGCCATCAGACCCCGTCTCCACACCCAAGACCTTCACGCCGGTCTTCACTTTCAAGCCGAGAGCCTCCAGGTGAAGAGGGAAGAAGGAGGCCACAAGCGTGGATGAGACCCCCCTTCCATTCAGCCGAGCCCAGGCCCACTCAAGCCATGATTGGCTCAAGCCTACTCAAGCTAGGAAGGTTATGACTCATGATTTTTTCATCACATGAGGACACCCCGTACACCGGTGTCTGATGACCTTCGGACATGATAAAATGGATGCTAAACAGCCAGTCTGCACTGCAGTGCCTCGATTTTGCTCTGCAGAATCCTCAGACAACACAGGGCAAATGTCTGACTCACAGGCCCAACAACGCTAAGGAAGGATGTTTCCTGTGTTTCATGACCAGCAAATCTCCGAGCGTCTTCCCCGCGTCCAAGTCCAACTGCACCGGCATCAAATGTGGTGCCACCTCCAGGATGGTCGTCTCGAGACCCAGGTCGTAAGCTGCCTAGTGAAGGGATGTTCGACCGAAGAAGCCAAAGATCTCTGGTTTTTCCAACATCACGGCTGGAGTCACTGCAGTCAGTCCAAGTTGTTCATGTTGCGATCCTTTTTCATAGTTCCGGCTGGGTACTGATTACTAAGCTATCACTATCACAATGAAAAAAAGGGGGCAACATCATCAAGCCAATTGCAATTCAGCTTATCCAAGCCCTGGTCCAGTAATTACCTATGTTTCCAACTAACTGCCCTCATGCTACACACCAAATGTGCCTTGGCAGCTTCCAGTCCCAGTAGACCTCCACCGATGACCACGGCCTTCTTTGAGAACTTCGCCCGCTCCGTGATCTGAGTTGGATGTGGGTGGGCTGAGACTGATGCGAACACAAAACCTTAAAGCAAAAACTGGCAATTTCTACCTGGAAAGCCTTTTCCCATCTATTCCCCTCACCCCTCAAAAAGGCCCGAACACAGACTTCAGCACGCATGCTGGTACTTCGCTCCTTTCACACGTTTTTGTTGAACAAAATACACGTTTCTGTGTGTGTGTGTACTTCCATCCACTACTTCTCGACCAGTGTGTACTTCGATCCGCCATACCGACACGGAAATGACTCGATCGCACCGGAGGTTTTCTGCCTGGAAGATGTCTGAGATGGTTCGATACACGAACACACCTGCAACCTGCAGGATGGCTGGAAACCAGGAGAGATGTGTGGAGGTGGAAGCAAAAAAAGTGCGGCCTCCTCTAGTGTGTGTGTGTGTAACCCTTGGAATCATAGGGATCCTTTTGGATTTGCTCAGCTTGCTTTCTTACTTTCCAGTTTTTGTCACAGCAGGGGGACCAGGCATCTTGCTGCTGACCTGGTCTAACAAAGCTAGGCAGCAAGATGGGATACTGGAGTTGGCCACTCCAGCGTACCTGCATTTTTTTCCGAATGGCATGAGGCTAAGCCCAGAACCTCACAGGTAGCTACATTTGGCAGTCATGCGCGCACGTCGTCATGTCGATTTGATCGTCGCCTTCGATCTTGAGACTTTGGCCCTACTTCTTCTTGAAGACCCCCAGGCTCCGATGGTCCTTACTGGTACTCTTAGGAATTGGAACCCTAGGCCGGCGTGTGGCACCGCTTTCAGTTCAGCACACCCTATCCTAAGTGTGTTTGGCCTCGTGCCAACCCGGGATGAGCCCGCAGAGTGCCTCCCGTGGACCCGTCGAACGGGTGTACGTCGAACGTATCCACTGCCCGGATACAGAGCAGCTCGCAGCGAGCGTAGGTGGCCTAGGCCGTACGTACGATGATTTTTGTCTCATCTTTGGAATTCCAAGTTGGCTCATGCCTTTACGTGACCGCAGCGGTCGAAGCAGCCAGCCATTTCGGCAGGGCACAAGGTGACCACAGCGGTCAAAGCCAGTTTCTAGGTTCATTGGAACCTGTTGGACACTTAGGTGCACATACATCGTACACACTTCAACGAGGCAGGTCTTCCTAGGTTGTTTAATGAGGTTTGGTTTCATCGGTTCCCGTCCCCTCCATTTGGTTCCCCTCTCACCTTTTCCCCTTCACACACTTCTTTTCCTCTTTCTTTTCATGTCTTCCCTTGCTTCATGTCCGTTCATCTCACTCCTTTCGTTCTTTTGCGCGTACAATGGTCCGGGCCTTAGTGTGTACGCGCACATCTACTTTCAACTGAGGCGTTAGGTCGCCCAGGTCTCGATAATGAGGTGGGCTCATCGGTTGTCCCTGTGCACTTGGTTTCCCTTTCATTGCCACCACACACACTTTTGTCCTGTCTGTCTTCCTTTTCATGTCTTCATCCTTCTGTCCTTTCTGCGCGCACATTTACACATTCGTCCTAGCCTTAACTTTGCCTCCCCTCGGGGAGGCGTGTGTGTGTGTGTAACTCTTGGAATCATAGGGATCCTTTTGGATTTGCTCAGCTTGCTTTCTTACTTTCCAGTTTTTGTCACAGCAGGGGGACCAGGCATCTTGCTGCTGACCTGGTCTAACAAAGCTAGGCAGCAAGATGGGATACTGGAGTTGGCCACTCCAGCGTACCTGCATTTTTTCCGAATGGCATGAGGCTAAGCCCAGAACCTCACAGGTAGCTACATTTGGCAGTCATGCGCGCACGTCGTCATGTCGATTTGATCGTCGCCTTCGATCTTGAGACTTTGGCCCTACTTCTTCTTGAAGACCCCCAGGCACCGATGGTCCTTACTGGTACTCTTAGGAATTGGAACCCTAGGCCGGCGTGTGGCACCGCTTTAAGTTCAGTACACCCTATCCTAAGTGTGTGTATTTGTGTGTGTGTCCTCTTTGTCGCTTGATGTTTCAGTACTTGGTACTGTTCCTGCAGTATCAGCGGCGTGGACAACTGGCTTAAGCCTTCGTGGACCTCAACTAGTTATCTCCGAAGGGCTGGAACCAAGACCTGAAAATCTCATCCCGAATAGAAATCCTTTGACCACCACAAGCAACTGGCCTCCAAGGAGAGGCCTGGAACTGGCGGCAACCACGCTTTGCTCCCAGTCGCCAAGACGAGCTCGTCATAGGATACCGTTTTGGTCTGCGCCATTCGCGGAAAGTTGGTGGGGGGGTCACGTGGAGATCTCATCCAATCTAGATCCATTCTTGAAAATCTCATCCAGCAGTCCAGTCTACTGAGTGGTCTCTTTCCCACCTCCCCGCCGCAGTCCACATCCACTGTCTTGGCCGCTCGATCCACCTTGCTGGCCCGACCGAAAACCAACTCCACACCATTCTCGCGGCACCACTCCGCGCCTCAGAACAGATCTTCGTGCAGAAAAACACGAAAAGCAGCCTCAACTTATATAGACCCCCAAATAGATAGAAAAGTAGATCCCCACTAAATGTATTGGAAACCGTTTCTATCTATTTGGGGATCACTATAATATATATATATATATATATATCTATATACATATTTACTCAACGCAAACAGCACGCCACTCTTTCACCGTGACACACTCGCCTTTTTGATTCGGGAGAACCACCACCACTGGGGTGGGAACTTCACCAAGGCGCTACTGAGGGCCAATTTGTTGGGATCTCGATGCTCAAAGAAGCTGCTGAGCTTCACCCGGTTGTAGGCCGGATAGCTCTCCTGGAGCTGAAAACAGTGGTTGTAGGACGGTCAGACTATGTCACCCCCGGGCCTGAAGAGGTTGTTCAATTCAATGGGGGTAGGTTCTTAATCAAGAGTCAAGAGCTTGCGATTGGTCTTTCACAGTTAAATGTCATGGAACCAAAGCCCCTGGCTTCCACCAAAAATCATTCAGTCTGGCGCCATCCCCAAAGCTGTCCATCACCTAATATCATTAACTTGAAGCACTGGTCCAGGCTACAAACAACGTCTGAACTGATCATCATAAAAATATATAAAAGGTGCCTGGATTCGAACCACAAAAAGCTTTACCTCGCGGCAACCGCTGCACATTCTTCACCAAAACGGACCCCACGAACGGACCCCTGGGATCAATTCGAACCCCGAAGAACCCGATCTTCGGCGCCCGCCGGGCCCCGGTGGCCTCGGTGATCACTGTAATCTTCATGGCCGCGCTCTTGGCCAAAAGCTTGGTGACCACGGCGTGTCCCACAGGACCCCATCCAACCTTGGACACATCCGACCCATCCGACACAAAACCCACCTAACTTCACGACGTGATAGATATTTGTTTGACTCACCTGGATTTCTGGCGCAGTCTTCGTGCTCACCTTGTCGGTCCAAGTACCCATTGTTAGAAACAAATGCGCCAGATCTTGGTGGATGTCTTGCTACTGGGGTTGTCAGCTGGGTGAACTCTATCGACTTTGATCCACACATATCCACTTTGAGCTTCCAAGTCGACAGTCGAACTGAACTACAGGGCTTGGTGAGTCAACGACGTTCCTCTGCCAAGCCATCCCAAACCAATCAAACACCCATAATGCTGGTGCTCCAAGAGTGAATGGAAAATCATCCACTTCGAGCTTCCGAACCAAGAAACGACCACCACATTGATGCCTAGGGCTGTCTTCAACTTGGCCAAATCAGCGGGGTCCAGCTGTGCCAAGGCATCTGTCAGCTCTTGGTCCTTGGCTCAGCGTGAGGGTGGGCACTTTGGGGCTTGCCTCGCACAAAGGTAAAGCTGTTACATGATCTGGATGACCCCCTTTCCTGTGTTTTGTCACCTTTGGCAGGAGTACCATCAAGCCTTTCACGAAGCTTACATCATGTTCATCCAACTTTGAAGCCTTTGGAACTGTTTTGAACCCCCTGTGAATGCGATCCCTAAAGAGCGGTCACGTACGACATGACGGAAAGCACCTGTTTCTAACAAAGCGAACACTCTTGAGCCTAATTTAGGCCATGGTGAAAAGCTCCACGAAAACAAGCATCAAGTGGCATGTCACGCGCACATGGATGACGCTCATCAACACTGCTTCAAAATTTCCTCCCTTCTCTGTTCCCCAGGCTCGGTCTTGAGGGGAAGGTGCAGCCAGCCGGAGCGGACGGTCGTCCACCAGTCATCCGCAGCCATCGACTTCGTGAGAAGGTCGGCCAACTGGCATTCCGTCGGCAGCCAGTGAAGTGGAGGTCGGCAAGGCCTCTCCGGAGCTAGAGAGGCTTCCTTTCCATAGGTCTTCTGCCATTGGTGCCTCGCTTCCTGCAGCAAAGTTTGGCGAACACCTGCGAGGTCAATGGCCAGACGCTTCTCGGTGGTCGCCGTATCATTAAACACCTTGTGGATGTGGTCGAACAGACTCTTGCAGTCCGTCACCAGGTGCAAGGCCAAGTGCTTCCCACCCTCGGCCTCAGAGATGATGCGGCCGTGGATCATGGATAGGAACAAGGCTCGTAGGAAGAGAGCTCCTTCCACGGCCTCGCAACAGGCCATAGTTTCACCTGCGAAGGTGGACCTGCACACTCTTTGACACCCCTTTGATTTCCAATCTACCAAGCTGCAGGCGCCGCCGGGTCCGCCCAGGCAGTCAGCGTCCGCCATGAAGGTGAGCGAACCGATCTGCGAAGCCACCTGGTGGGATCCTGTCCATACTGGGTCCCAGCCGTCGTCGAGGTCGGCGTTCGCCCAAGCAGCGTCATGGTAGGCCAAGAACACGATCTTGTCCTCCGGGATCTTCTTCAAATAGAGCCCCTCCTCCTTGTGCTTGATGGCCAAGTTCACTGCCTTATTCGTGAACTTCAAGGCATCGACGTCAGGGTCATTCTGCTTCTTCTGAGCCTGCGAGACGTAGAATTGCAGGTCGGGGCGAGTCTGCTTTGCCAGCCAGGACAAACTTCCAATCGAAGTCCGATTTTCTTCAACTTGTTCTCTATCAACTCCATCTCGGATGGTGACCTTGGACACCCGGCTCTCAGTATAGCCCTTCTGGGAGATGAAGACTTGTCCCTTGGAGACCTTGTATTCGCAGCCCACGTACTCGAAGCTGTCTTGCTGCCATTCATCCACTGGGAACATCTT